ATCAAGTACATCGACCGTGATCGCTTCGGTCTCCTGGCGTCAATGCAAGTTGGGGGGCTTTACAAAAGGAAGGTACTGAAGGATAAGAGCTGTGTTTCAGAATTCGTGTTGTGTTGTCCCGAGTTTGTAAACATGTGTCGCCTCATGCCTCACCACCCTGCGGGCACGACGCCGCATGCGCGCAAAGCTTTCGCCATCGAAGGCGCCTTGTCAAATTTGGGAGCTCGTAGACTTTCGCCTTTTCTAAGCACTCCCGAATCCCCACTCAAGCTCACCAGCCCCCTCCCTCTTCTAATGATGGCCTTTAAGCGCCGCGGTAGTACCGCCTGCCTGTTTTGTCCACGGGCCAAAGGAGCACCATGCATCTTCTGGGCTTCTTGCTTCCAGGCTTGGAAGTAATCCGTTACAAGTAACGGAATTACTTGTAATTAATTACTTTTCTAGTAATTTTGTAATTAATCCGTTACTTTTTTGAAAATGTAATTTGTAATCTAATTTCATTACTTTTTCAGTAACGCGTTACTGAAATTACTCGTTACAATTCTTCCGCCCCGTCAAAGGGAAAAATAGAGAGGAAGAAGGGCGATGCAACGGCCTTCGCGGTTTAGGCATGGTAACACACGACGGGGGTTCGCTCGCGAAGAGATCTAGTGCTGGCGAAGAAAAGGAATTCACGGAAACGGCGACAGCCCAGCCAGAGCCCCTTTCTGGACTTGTTCGTACGGTCAGTCAGGCTGGGAGGATTCGACTGCCTACATGAAGGCAACAAGCTTCGACTTGGAAAACGAACGGACTGCTTCGAGCGCACAAAAGAGCAGAAAACTAATGGCCCATAAAACCATCGAGTGGGAGTCTTAAAGAGTACTGTGACCGTAATGCAGACGTCCGCTCGCCCCCTCCCCCCCCCCCTCCTTTCCACCCCACCCCCTGTGTGCTGTCCCCCAAAAACCAATCTGCATTTTTTTTTTTGTCACACGAGACTGTCCTTTGCTTGTCGATGTTCTGCCTACACACACACACTCCGCAGACAAAAAAAAAAAAAAAAATAAATAAATGGTAACAAGATCTTGACCCTGTTCATCTTTCACAGCGTTGTGAAACATAAATACTGGCTGGACCAACCAGCTTTGTGGTTTCTGTCACTTGACTTCGCTCTAGGGGATGTGTAAGGCACAAACATAAAGGAAGTGATGGCAGCAGCTCATTGGAACAGAAAAAAAAAAAAGTAGCATCAACACTACTCTCAGTTCAAACACTACTCTGTTCTTTCGAAAAAGCCGTGGATAATATTTTTCAGTGCTAAGATTGCTTTTATTGCTCTTATGAAATTATTTTTACTGTCTTTATTTTTTATTACTGCTGTTACATTTACTGCTATACTGTTATTGTTATTACTAGTATTACATTTGGTTACTGTATTGTTTCTCTTCTTTCGAATATGTCGTAGATATTAATTTTCGGTGCTAAGATTGCTTTTTGTTTAGAACTGTTGTGTTTATAATGTGCATGTGTGACACTGTATCACCCCACTCCTGCCTTGGCCCTATATTGGGCTGGCAGTATTGATAAATAAAAAAACTTTAGACAGCAGGCGATGAGGTGGCCGGGGAGCACAGCCAAAATTGCTTGGGACTTCGGAGCTGAACCCATATTCCTAGAAACAAGAATGTTGGGGTTCTCGTCAGCGGATTGTGCCTACGGGAAGTTACTCTGGCATTTTAGGGAAAGGGATCGCAGCCCGAGTTTTCTGAGAACAAACAGTGGCTGACTTGGACACAGTAGGGTGCCTCCACAGGAGTTAAGGCAGCGCAAGGCGGCTGTAAACGCGTGAGATACATTGAAGCATGCTGTTCACCGAAAAGAGTGCTTTTTTTTTTTATATATTTTCTAAACGGAAAAATCAGCTTGGCTGAAAGATTGTGGATGAATATTTCGTGTGAAGTTTCAGTTTTGATTAGTTTGATGACCAAGAAAAACTATCAAGTGGGTTAAGGCCGGATAACAACCTTCCACAAGCGGTACTCTGAAATCTGCCCAAACGCAGGTACCGCATGTACGTCTCACAGCCAGTTGGTTTTAGTGGCTAAACCCGCCCCTATTTAGGCAATATATATCAATCGTAGAAAAACCACATCTTCGGCAGAGTCGTGTTCTAAAGTTTGCCGATGCCATATTTCGAATGGTGTGCGTGCCTCCGCCACCGATGTGCATTCGTCGCATGTTCATGGGATTCAGTTCTGTCCCGGTGGACAGCGCTGGATTGGTTTATATCGAACAGCTGTTCCAGTCCTTTACAGCTTTATAGATCTATCGTCGTAAAATTATTATCCTAGAATAATCGGTAGATATAGTATTGAACCTGTTTTATTTTTGATGGGGCCCGAAATCCCCCCCACAAACATGCAGTAGATATTGCAGGTATTCTGCGTGTTTCTTTAAAGTAACGCAAAAGTAATTGAGTAAAGTAACGAAGTAATTAATCAGTTACCTTTTACGGGGAGTAATTTGTAACGGTAATCCACTACTTTTTAGGCCAAGTAATTGTAATTGTAATTAATTACTTTTTTGAGTAACGGGCTCAAGTCTGCATGCTTCCACACGGAGGAAGCACACAAACGCTCGCCGACGTCGTCTTGTCGGAATCCATTCATTTCGCTGTCCCCTCTTTGCTCGCTTTAACCGGTTGTCAATCAGGCCCATGAGTCCTGCCTGTCATTTTCTTCTGGTTTTGACTTTTCAAGCAAGCCTCTCCGTCGCCCCGGTGCTTTTTGTGCTTGGCGGAGGTGAGGAGGGCGGTAGGTCAGCATGCATAAAGAGTCATTTTATTTATTTCGGCTCAGGAGAGACGGAGGTACAGCAGATAGGCCGAAGGCCCATACCAGATAACCTGCAAACACACAAACTAAAAAAAAAAAAAAGAAGAAGGAGGGGGAGGGGGGGGGCTCGGCAGCTCGGTCCTGAGGACAGGAGGGGCTCAAGCCCACCCTGCCCCCCCGCTTCCGGAGCCCCTGATAGCGAGTTCGTTTCACGGCACTCGTGCCCACGCGTGCCCACTCGCAGCGTGGAACGGGTTCGTTTCGGCCGGCACTCCACGAGTGGTTGCACTCTCCGAGTTCGTTTCAGCGCTGACACCCCACGCGTGCGCGCACTCGCTGCACCGAAAAATCGGGAGTGCGCCAAAATGCAATCCCGTCATGCCTAGCTCCGGCGGGGCCGGCGAGGAGCGGGAGCGGACGACGAGGGTTCGTCTGCTACGATGTGTCGCGGAACCGAACGGAAAAAAAGTAGATTTTCTGATAGAAATCGCGTCCCGCGGGCCACGAACGAAATCAAACGCGAGCTTGAATTGTGAGCGTCTGCTATTTCCCGAAGAAAGCAATTGACAACCCGTGATTTATTTGCAGGTTTTAAATCGCTCTGTTGCCGTACAAACGCTGAAATATACCAGTGTGTAAAGGAAGGCTCAGAACAAACGTAACAGCGGCCCCCGAGATATCCATCACCATCCGTGTGCGGGGGAAAAATTTAACATTTGTCGACAAAGCTCCCCCAGCAGAAACCTCCGACTGCTCAATAAGCATCAGAGAAAGCTAAAGATGGTAACTTTACCCGAGGAGTGGGCAACATCATCATGTTTAACATTTACCTACGTCAGCTAACTTGCCCCGTCGTATTTTGTTCGAGAATGTTCTCGTTCTCGACGCCCTCACCAAGGCTAAGATCTGATCCACCTATAATGACGATCCAAATAGAAGGTCTCAGTTTTGCTGGATATTCCAACAGGCTAGTTTTAAGCCGCACCCTTTCAGCGGTTCACGCATAATACCATGTTCAAACGGATCATGCTTGTGCTCGGACAGCATCATCAGTTTTCTTCAGTGTAAACGGTTATAAGAATTGAAAGATCGCAACCAGCTGCTTTGTAGACAGCTGGTTGCGGAAATTTACGCCGTCTGTAACTATCTCTACGGCAGCCGAGCTGCTTGAAGTCATCGCAACTATAAACTACAGGTTGCAGCGACCAACGTTTCTAGATAAACGTTGGTAGCGACTGCATTCTCGCATTCCCACGCATCACTCCGATCAGAAAGGCGCTAGTTTCGGTTTAAAGTCGCTACCTTTTCTACAACATAGATGGCGGCAGAATCAGTCTTCTGCACTCGGTGCATTTGGCGAGTTCGTTTGAGTCCAGTTTTCCGTGCAACACTCTGAGAGTGCGATGCATTCTGGGAGAGAACTCGAACGCTGCCAGTGCGTGTGAAACGAACTCGCTAATAGACGCCATTTAATTGCTAAATTTTACTGGGAGTCTATGGGGCAAAGGGTCGTTTTATTTCCTAACTCAGGTCATAAGGACCCATTAAGGTGCTTGAATAATTTACAAAAGGTATAAGTGATTACTTTTCCACGGCCACCAGTTTTGTTGCGATAGGTTAAGTATTTTTTAACGCGAAAAACGGTAAATTCCGCCATTTTGGACGTTGCTGCTTGTCTGGCAACCCTACTTTCTCCTCTCGGAGCGAGAAGGAAGCGAGAGAGGCTTGGCCAAGGCGTTCGTTGCAATGGGAGGCGAGGGGAGGAAAGGCGCATGGAGCAACAGATTTGCAACAGAGCGGGCGTCTGCTCTCGTGCAGGCAACATTTGCGCATATCCTTTCCCGGATCCTCTCCCTCAGGCACCGCCATTAAATTGCAAACGCTCTACAGGTTTTGAGTTACACCCACCCTCACTAGAGCCTCCCTATGTTTTTGCACTCAGTCCATGTTAATGTGAAAGGAAGCAGAGTTGCTCGAAAGGTGTTAGGCGAAATGTCATTTAAAATGCCCGTGTGACAGGAAATGTGAGGTGTTATGGAACATCGAATCACTTAATTTTGTACTGTCTCAGCTCATTCTAAATCATAGTGAAAACCCTGCCTACACAAGCCGTCAAATTAGTCTTGTCTACAAAACAAAACACCACGCAGAGAAAATCTTTTATTTGAAAAGAAAAGCAAGGAAAGCAGCGTACAAGAGTTATGGCTTATTACTTCACACGGACAAATTAGAAAGGGTTCTAAAATTATAAGAGCTTCCTTAAGCTATCCTTTGGAAAGAATACCTGACCTCACTGTAGCTTTGCAAAATGTGCACGCCCACAAATAAAAACAACTCAACGCACAAGTGGGTAACTGGCCTGGGTTGCAATTCCACATTGGTTATTTTTGTTTCGGCTCATCCGGATGTAACCCTCTTCTCCCCAAGCAATTCCCCAGCTGAAAAGAAAAAGAAAAAAAGGAAAATTCATCAAAAAGTTTTATTTGTAGCTATTTTTGTAGAAGATCCGTCTGACTGCTACACCGGGATCCTAAATGTGGTAACTGAGCGCTGACCCTGGGCATTTTTTGGGTGTGAAGGCATTCATTAGGTCCTTCAAAAAGACATTCCTACTGGCGCTTTCAGCGCCAATAAAAATGTAAACAACTGTAAATAAATGTCTGTAAATAAATTTCAAAGAAGCTGTCCGGGTCGGTTTGTACATGCGTGTGTACTGCGTTGACTGCATCTATAATGAAAGTGAGCAGAGGTGTTTCGAAAGCCGTGACACAAACGTCTTCCGGCACCCGCTCATGCAGGGTGACATCCACAGACTTGCATGATACTCATTACGAATAAACTTTCTTAAAATCGATTACTTTTTGAAGTAATTTCATAATAATTTGATGACTTTTCTTAGAAAGTAATATAAACCCTCGATTGAACGAAACCCGATTGTACGAATTTATCGATTTAACGAAGAAATTCGGATTCCCCTCGCAGCCTATGTCCGCATAATGACTCTCACGATTTTACGAAGTTCCCGGTTTAACGAAATAATTAACGGGTCACGGTGACTTCGTTAAATCGAAGTTCAACTGTATAAGGCTAATTTCATTATTTCTAGAAGTACTAAAATTAAAATTAACCATTACTATGTTTCTCCTCGATCCCCTTTCTTATGGCGCCCACAAGTTTCTTAGAGAGGAATCCGCTCACCAAGACTCCGACCGCAGGATGGCCTATCGAAATTGGTGTATCAAGATGAGTAGTTTGTAATTCCGTGATTCTAATTCAAGAATTGACAGCACAAAAGGCCCGTTTTCAAACAGGCAGAAAGATTTGTCAAGTGAAAAATCTGAAGTTCCCGTAATTCTTTAGCAATCCTATACTTTTAAATTGACTAATTAAAAAGTTATTGCTGCGAAATAATTACGAAACCACGCGAATGTTATTAATTTTCTTCAGTCGGTCCTTTGGAAGAGATCAAAACGACCAACTTTTCCGAGTGGTGCGTAGTAATAATCGCAGGAGCGATTTTGCCAGTGTTTCGTGGAACACACTGTGCATATCCCGGACACACAGTTCACCACGCACAAAGGGTGTTACATTAAGAACCTTCGGATACTTGTAAACGTGAGCATCGTAAGGGTGTTACACAAACACCCATAGGATGCTTGTGAACGCCCAAAAAAGAGGATGCTGGTGATCTTTGTAGCATCCTGCGGATACTTTTTACGAGCACGTTTACAAACAACAAGCACCCCATACAACGCTCGCTTATACAGGAACAGCAAATACAAACGTAATGGATCACGCACAAAAGAGGAATCATGACTTTGGTGTCTCCGCCACCGCCTTATATGCCCAACAATTCAAAAACACTCATTCGCAGGTGCTCCGCCACCGAAATTACGAAGATTACACGTATGTCGATTAGTTCCCGCATAAATTTCACGTGATGCTTAATATATCCAAATTTAAGAAATGTATCTCAAAGTAAGCCTCATTGGTAGAGGCAAAAAATATTCAAGATCGTCGCTAAAACAAACCTCGACTAAAACGGACGTCAGTGCAGCGGACACCCTTGAAGAAGGGTGTCCGCCTCAGTTTACCGCCGGAATTTAGTATTCTGTTGAGGCTTCGTCTTACCACTCACTATCAAGTATGCAGTAAACTGTGAAGCAAAGGAAACTCGCCTATTTTTAACCAACCAGTAGTCCTTGCCATCTGCTCTTCCGTAGCCAACAACCAGCACAGCATGGTCTAAATTCAAGACGTCGCAGCTTGGCTCGTCGAACATTCCTGCAATTTTCAAAAGATCGTGCATGTTGTCAGCGGACAGCGAGTTAGAACAAGGGTGGCCAAACTGCGGCTCTTCACGAGTCCAAGCGCGGCTCGCAGCTCTCTGATACGCGTAACGTATACGTGTCGTGTGTCTTCATGGTAATGTTGACGAAGTTCAAGCCCGAAGTGGAACTTGCACGCCCTACAAAAGTAATTTAACAGATCCAGCAAAAATCACACCGGGACCGATGATAGCGACGCCCGAGATTGCGAAAAAAATCTAGCTTTTGAGTCACGTGCACCGTGACAACAAATATGGACTAAATTGTTTGAAGAAAACGCAGTCCGCTCGTGTTAGCTTTCAACCGTGAGTTGTAAAAAAAAAAATTAGATTTTTAAAGTTATTGTTATTACTTAGTAACGAGGAAAAACTATATATTCTAGGAAGAAAGGTTTACTGCAATAAAAATAAAATATAATTTCAATCCGCTCACGCGTGCACTAAAAAAACCGAGCGTTCTTTTCTCGTGACTTGGACTTGGAAAACGTTTGGGCTGGCAACAACATAAGATTATTTTTAGGGCGCAGGCTCTAGCCGTAGGCGCCAGTTTCCGGCTTGAGCGGCGTCGTCGTCGCCGTAGTCGGCGTCGGCGTAACCGCGCGTTGCATTATGAAATGTTTCCCATAAGGACGTCACGTGAATGAATGTGACGTCACAGGAAGTTTAGTGGGAAAATATTTGCGCTAATTTTAGCGGAAAAGCTTTTTGCTAAATTTAGCGCGGAAATTGATGCCATGTGGCGTCAACACCAATTCAATTTTCCCGCTTAATTTAACAGGACGATTTTCGCTAAATTTCCCGCAAAATTTAGCGGGAATATTTCCCCATTAAACTTAGTGGGGAAATTTTCGCCAAATTCAGCGGGAAATTTAGCGAAAATTTCCCGCTAAATGGGAGGGGAGCAGGAGGGCAGGGTAAGGAGGGGCCAGACGAGCATACCCTCCCTTCCGTACCCACCCCTCCTCCTCCTCAAAAGCTGCGCTCTAATTCGGCATTACGGAGAATTGTAACCGTCTTTCTTTTTTTTTCTTCACGAGAATAACAAAAATGACGGAAAATTGTGTTTTGTTAGTTCTTTCACACGATTCTTGGTTCCACACGTGAAGGGAACTGCGGAAATTGTTCAAGGCTGAGGTGCTGCAGTTTCCGGTACTCCTTCATGTCCATGTCAAAAAGCTTCTGTCAGACCACGTCTAGCACGCCTCGATTTTCGCTGCACATTCTTTAGCCTTTCACCCGTCTGTCATGAAAGTTAACTAGAGGAGAAGTAGTAAACTCAGCGAGCGCTCACGGCTGCCGTCCATCCTATCGACGGCACGAGAGGGAGCCACTAAAGCATGGGCTGTGGTAGCGCATGCATCGCATAGCATTTGCTGCGCTCCTGGCGTTGTCGTCGTCGTCGTCGATTCGGCATTGCACTTCAATCAACATAAGCAACAGAAAACACGGAGGAAAGATCTGAACGGAAGCCAGTTCGCGCCGCCAAACCGCTAAGCCAAACCTGCTCGCCGAAGGCCCTCGGAACGCTCGGATCCTCCAGTCCATGCTACCGCAGCGCCACTCCGTACGTCCGGGACCTTTCCACACCCGCCGCTTCACCATATAGAGTAATATACACAAGGGAAAGCGCGGAAACTCCGACCGGTTCGCAAGCCAGATACGCCTCCACTCCCGTCCGCGAAGCGGCGCTACTACAAAAAGTAGTCTGAAATATTATTGTTTAAAAATACTCCCGCTAAAAACTGTGGTCCTTTAATAATATCTCGAAAGTTTAACTTCCAAAAAATCTTCATGTTTGTAAGTTGCGTTATAATGACGTTCCAAATTTTCTGGCGTCGTCGTGTTGGCCATGCCGCAAGCGTCGAAGCGTCTGTTATAATACCTGCGTCGGTGGCATGAAAACCGAGAAACCTGCGAAATGTCGTGGTGGTTTCGAGACGGGACATACCCCGTCAAGTCCACTTTCTGAGAATACAAGGTGAGCCACGTATTTTTTCATTTTTGGTGATTGCAAAGCTTGGTTTCGAGTTGTGATACAGAGGGCTTGACAAGTTTCCGACTTCTTTGTATTACACTTCAGTTTTTTTCTGTCTTCAGCCGCTGTTTTGCCGCGTTCGCTGTGAATTCTACGACGTGTTCTCCATCAAATGGATGTTGACCTTCTTTCTTGGACGCCCAGGTTGTGGGTTACGGACACTTCTGCTGTGTTGTCTGGTGTGCGACCAACAAGAAAACTTACAAGAACCCGTGCGTATAGTTTTTCCGGTTTCCACGTTATTTACGGTAACTCTAACTGTCGAAACTGTCTTTGTACGTTTGGCAGCGTTGTAGCTCTCAGAGGAGTAAGGAGAACTTTGTGAATATGATACGCGTCGCAAAGGGCACGCGGAGCGATATATGGAGATATTCTACGCCGAACGCAGAATGAGATCCAGAGTTCAGTATCTGTCGCTTCCTGTTTCGATTTGGATAGGCCTGTTCCTATGTGTTGCTGTCTGGGGGAAAGGGGGGGGGGGGGGAGGGGGTAGAGCGCGTCTGCAAGGATGCTAGAATAAAGTACAGCTACAAGGTCTGCCAGACGAGACCATGTAAGGCAGGACTGAAAAAAACAAAAATACTGTTCCATAATGCCCGAGCAAGGGTCCTTCACAAGCGTCCGTCTCCGCGCGCTAACTAAACGTTTAAGGCGGCGGTCCCACGGCGGCCATCTTGAACAAGCCATTAGTTCAACCGCTATAGTCGGTTACAAGTTAAGAAGGTAGTAGAAGCTCCTCCCCATAAGCGTAATGCGCCCGCTTCAGACGCCTCCGCAGTCGAGAAAATAGTTCGCTGAAAACGCCCCTTCTGCTTCAATGGATAGATATTGACTACAGACAGACCTTGTAGGGGGCGGCAGCTGCGCCACCTAACCGAGGCAAATTATGTACTTTAGGCTTCTACATTACTCGCTCCACAAGGTTGAAGTAAAAAGAAGGCTTCAGTGCAACGAAAATTGTAACTTTTATAAGTAATGCATATATGGTTGTTGGTTTTAGCTTGATAACCTTCCTACACGAATTAGGTACATTCCGTGCATTTGCTGCGTTTGCTAAAAAAAAAAAAAAAAAAAAAAAAAAACGTGCGTTCCTGGTTTTGAAAGCCCCTGCGATTCGCGTTTTGACAAATCCGAAGTCGTCTATTCTTTTCCGTTATAAATCCCAACGTGGAGACAGCGGAATGCAATTCCTCCGATTCTTCTTCGTCAAGAGAGTCTAGTGCAGCCTCGCCATCTACGCCAAGGAGCATCTACAGGAAGCATAAGAGCGGCAATGTCCTCAACCGAGTTGCACGGCAGCGGATAATGAACGCGTACATTCAGGTTCGACACGAACCGCCCGCCCAGCCCGGCCTCACTGTAGAGGAGTCCTGCATCAAAGTCAGCAAACTGCTCGGTGTTGCTGTACGCAGCATCCTCGAGATTAGGAAGCAGGCGAAAGAAACCGAGGGACAAGTTGTGACACTTTCTCGGAAGCGCCCAGCAAGTGAAGGCAAGAGGCGGCGCAAAGTCAGGTGCGGCGACTTCACGTTGTGCGTGCTGAGATCATGCATCAACCATTTTTTTCGACGGAACGAGGTCCCCACGGTCAAGAAGATAACGGCCGAATTCTGTACGAGCACTGAACGTCCCTCGTTGAAGGCCTGGACTGTGCGTCGCCTTCTCCACGACATCGGATTCGAGCATGACAAGAGGGACGAAACTCGCGGCTGATTGAACGAGAGGACATCGTCGCCTGGCAGCAGAAGCACCTGCATGAGATCGCACGTCACCGACAAGACGGTCGGAAGATCTTCTACTTGGACGAGACGTGGGTGACGGCAGGGCACACTGTCTCAAGGGTGTGGGTAGACACGACCGTGGCCTCGTCTCACGACGTCTTCATGCGTGGTCTCTCGACTGGCCTCAAGCAGTTATTGGGGAAGGGCCAGCGTCTTATTGTCACCCACATCGGCAGCGATGAAGGCTTCGTCGACGGCTGCCTGGACCTGTTCAGTAGACAAAAGACCGGCGATTACCTCGAGGAAATGAATGGCGCCCGCTCCGAAAAGTGGTTTGACGGTGTCCTCGACAAACTGCCAACAGGAAGCGTTATCTTCATGGACAACGCTTCTTACCATTCACGGCGGTTGGAAGCAGGGCCGACGACGAGTTCCGGCAAGGACGACATCCGACAGTGGCTGACGTCTAAAAAGATTTCATGGAACCCCAAGATGCTGAAGTAGCAGCTGCTCGACATTGTGGACTTGGTAAAGCAACAGCCCCTAAAGTATCATGTGGACACTGCTGCCGAGACGGCTGGCTGCATTGTGGTCAGGCTCCCATCGTATCACTGCGAGTTCAACCCTATTGAACTGATATGGGCGCAGCTCAAGAACGGCGTTGCTGCCCGAAACACGACGTTCAAGATTGTCGACGTGGGGACACTCCTGAAGGAAGAAGTTGACAAGGTCATCACTGACAACTGAATTAATGCTGTCAGGCACGTTATTGACATTGAAGCAACGTTCCGACGAGGCGGTACCACAAGTGCCCACATCCAGCCCACCGCCATCCAGCTGGATGGAGAGGACACCCCATCCGAGATTGACCTGTCTGGTGTCGATCCCCTTGACAAAGTTTAACGCCACCATTATGGAGAAAGCGTGGAACACCTCGGAACACAAAACGGTCCTCTTAAAGACCACTCATATGCTTTAAGATCGGATTGTTGTTCTTGTCCACCACTGACCTCCCGTGTCTCATGTTGTCATGCTCCTCTGCTTGTTGCCGTATAGCATTTCGATATGCAGCCACCAGACCAACTTTTTTTTATTTTTGTTGCGATAATGTCTAAGCTGGTGTATACATTGCACTGTGCCGTGAATCATAAGTATAAATTTCAACTTCGTGAAAACAAAACTTTGCAGCCCATCTACGGCA